TAAGGCTTTTGAGACAAAGCCCCAGAATGGTCAAATTAAAAGAGTTAATCTCTAAAGCATTTATAGACATTAATGCTGACCGGAATTTGTGTCGTATTGTGTGTCGCAAATGTACTGGACAGGTTAGTGGAATGCTGCAACGTTGATGGAAGAAATTTAGAGCACTTATAAAATTAAATAGTGTTGAACAAATATAAACGTAAAACACAATGTAATTACATCCAAATAAATGACACGGTATTCCTACTTTTGGGCCACATATCAACACAATGAAAATAGCGCAGCGCAGGATACGATGCTGCACATGACGCTGTAATAATAATAGAGGGATTTATATGCTTTGGAGTAGGTTAAAAGGAACTTGGGGTAAGGGTCTGCTTGGCTGAAATTTATGGGGGGATAGATGTTGACGTGGATATATCACCCAGCTATCAGTGATATTAGGGTTAGGGATAATAGGGTGATGCCTACTAGAACATCTAACTGATTTACTTTCTTCTTTTACCTTTTTGTTTTTCTTTTGTCCTTTAATATTTGGGTTTACGCCCTTAGAGGTACTCAAGACAGGGTTTTTTGTCTTCTATTATAGTTACAGTTTCATAGTCAAGAAAAGGTCCTATGATGGCAGTAGCCTCATTCTCCTGATGCTGCAATAAATCATCACAGAATATTGTGATATCTCCGCTCTCCTCCTCATTTATTCTGAGGACTTGGCAGTTTCCCATATTTTGAGCAGATGCCTGATGATCTTTTGATCTAAAAAGCTACTATGTAGCTTTCTTTTGATTTCGTCCTCAAATTGCTGTCTTCAGATTGTGTCTGAACTAGGAACACAAGCACCATAACCATTACAGTGTGCTGGGTGTGCACAGGCAACCTCCCAAGGTAAGTAGTCAAACAGTTTGACTACTTACCTGGGGTCCACCAGGTGCCGCTCCCTTCCTCCTCATAGCTAGAATCTCTCATCTCAGAGCTAAGCCTGGCTGTGCAGGGCTTAAGTCATTGGCTGAGAGTGATCAGTTGACACTCTCAGCCAAATAGCTGGCCCTGCTCTGCAGTGCTTAGCAAAGGACTGGTGACAGAAGCTCCTAGCAGGAGTTTCCTCTTCTCATTTCCTGCTGAGAGGTGTCGGGGAGCGCCACCAGACAGACACTAGGTAAGAAGTCAAGCCATTACAGCTGGAAGCCAAGGCACCTTAACCACTACAGCTCACTGTAGTGGTTATGGTGCTTGAAGTGTTCCTTTACTAGAAGGATTACTGTGAGATCTTCTTAGTAAAACATGACCATGTAGTCAACTTTTTCCAATCACGTACTCTTCTCTTCCTCTTTCCTACTCTGTACTTCTATTTTTCTTTAATTTCTAAACAAAAACATAAGACAAACCAGTGACTACTTTTTCTTATGTATTTTTCCTGCGCCTGTCAATAAATGTTAATCCCTCAGCCATCACCTGTGGTGGATGCAGGGAATTGGCTCGGTCTATGAAGATCCTGTCTGTGGGGTCTCCAGGATTCATACTTGGGGGAGGTGGGGAAAAATCAGGGGCCAGGGACAAAAGTAGTGGGGCAGTTATAAAACGTGTGTGTATATATGTGTGTGTACACACATACATACACAGGGCTTGACAAATTTCAGGTGCTGGGTCGCCATAGCGACTAAACATTTCGCCCTGGTATTTGTCAGCCCTTTGCTAAGCCGTGCAGGAAACATTAAAGCCAGTTGCCGCAGGGGGCATGGAGGCACGTGAGGGAGCAATAACCTTCCTGCAATTCCTCTCCGCTCCCTTGCACACTGTTTAGTGACATGACGTCACTCCGGCCCTGAGAGCGCCCAGAGGAGCAGAGAGAAACTGCATGAAGACTGAGAGGAGACACGCTGGACGTCAGGGAAAAATCCACTCAGCTTTCCTGGGTGGATTTAAATTAAAATAAAAATAGCAATTTGTGAGTGTGTGAAAAAATATGTGTGTATGTGCTGAAAGGGCCTGTAAAGTGTGTGTGTGTGCATCTATGGGCTGCATTGTGAGTGTATGTGTATTGGGGTTGCATTGCATGCTTTTCAATGAGCGGTAATTATTATATATACGTGGGACCTCGGTTTACAAACGCCTCGGTTTACAAATGAAAATCCAATGAAAATAATGCCTCGGTTTACAAAATAATTTTGCAGTACAAAGCAGGTTTCACCAGGATGCATTGCACCCAGTGGTGTATCCTGGTTTTGTGCTGCCCTAGGCAGGACAAAACTCAGGCGCCCCCCAACCCCCCACCCCCCACACGCGACCCTCACCCATCCCTCCCCTCCCGCGCGCGACCCCCACCCATCCCTTCCCTCCCGCACGCGCGACCCCCACCCATCCCTTCCCCCCGCCTTCTAAATACACACACACTCACTTACAGATACGCGTACACTAGCTAACAGAAACACAAACTCACTGACACACACATTCAAACACACACACTCACTAGCAGAGACACACTCACTCACAGACACACACTAACAGACAGACACACACACACTAACAGACACACACTCACACTCACTAACAGACACACACAAACACTCACTAACAGACACACACACACACTAACAGACACACACACACACTCACTAACACTCACACTCTAACACACACTCACTAACAGACACACACACACTAACAGACACACACACACTCACTAACACACACTCACTAACAGACACACACACACTAATGGACACACACACACTCTAACAGACACACACACACTCTAACAGACACACACACACACACACACACTCACTAACACACACACACTAATAGACACACACACACACTAACAGACACACTCACTAACAGACACACACACTCACATTAACACATGTACTTTTTAAACCCCCCCCCCCTCCAGCCTCCTTACCTTTGGGAGTGCTGGGGAGGGAAGGGGTTCTCTATCTCCCTGGTGGTCCAGTGGCTGCTGGGCGCCGGGCGGCATTGGCGGGCGGGCGGCTGGCGAGGGAGCTCTTCCTGTGAGCTGTCTGCTCAGCTCCCTCGCGCGCCGCAGAGTGAGGCTGGGAGCCGGGTTGATGACGTCATCAACCCGGCTCCCAGCCTCACTCTGCGGCGCGCGAGGGAGCTGAGCAGACAGCTCACAGGAAGTGCTCCCTCGTCAGCCGCCTGCCAATGCCGCCCAGCGCCCGGCATGTCTGTTAGCCGCGAGGCTAACAAGACATTTGCCTTGGGCATTTGGGGGGCGGCTTTTTTTGCCGCCCCCTGAAAAATGCCGCCCAAGGCAAATGCCTTGTTTGCCTCGCGGCTAAAACGCCCCTGATTGCACCTGGAAGGTTTATAGCACCGCCCCCTGCATGCTGGAACCTGTGGGTAGCACGTGGTGCCGAGTGCAGAGGTGTTGGAGCAACTTTTGCATCGAGTTTTGGAGCCATTCTGGAAATTGTTTTCAGTTGTTTTGGGACTTTTTGTTGCATTTCTCAAGATGTGGAAAGGTAGGGAGCTGAGCTTCGTCGTTTGCATGACTTTTATTGTGTATTCTGCATTGTGGGTTGGTTTCCATGCCAGCTCATTTTGACTTTTTTCTGACCTCCAGAACGGATCAATTGGTTTTCAATGCATTCCTATGGGAAACCGCGTTTTGTTTTACAAATGTTTCGCAATAAGAAACGTCCCGGAGAACGCATTAAATTCGTAAACCGAGGTCCCACTGTATGTGTATATATATATATATATATATATATATATATATATATATATATATATATATATATATATATATATATATGAGATTTGATGTGTAATGGGGTGGAGCATGTATGTATGTGTGGGAGTGAAGGAATGTGGGGAAGTGTGTATGTGGGTGAATAGATGATGTGTGTGAGGGGTGCACTGTGTATGTATGCAAAGGTGTACTTTGCGTTGGTGGGAGTGTACTGTATGTGGGGGTTCACTGTCTGTGAGGGTTACACACACACACACACTGCCTCCCCCTCCCCACACACACAGACTGACCCATACACACACACAGACTGTTTCCCCACACAGACTGCCCCATACACATACACAGACTGCCCACACACACACACACACACACACAGATTGAACCACAGAGACTGAGCCTTAGAGTTCGGGATTATTCTCTGAAATGGGAATTGCTTGGATTTGAAAGTGGATTTAAAATTCTATGTCAAACTAGCAGAACTATAAACATGGGACTTGGGTGACGTTTTTCAATTGAGTTATTTTGTCCTAAACTTCGGAATTCACTCTGCATTCTTGACAATTCGTACATAAGGGAATAACTGTCAGAGCCATTTTAGCTGCAAAGGAGACCTTATCATTGGGGCAGTTATCACTGCACTATTTTAAATACAAACCATTTTAATGTGATGATTTGAAGGATCTTCTTTAAAACACGTTTTATATTGATAGTGCTGTGTGGCAGGTGGAGACATTAAAATGATAGACAGATCACAAAATAAAAATAAAAAATAAACAAAAAAATACTTTAATGAGGACTACAAAAATAAAGAGAGAGGTTAAGCAAAGGGAACAGTGGAAAGTAATATTAATAATAATAATTTGTATATATATATATATATATATATATGTGTGTGTGTGTGTATGTGTGTGTGTGTGTGTGTATACATTTTAAACAGTAAAAGATGGTAAAAGAAGTGACCCAACATTTAACCTGAAAGTAAAAATGCACTAATTATGAACGTGGCTGGAAAACAACAACATAACTTTGGAGGGAGGGAAAGATAACAGAAATGTACTATTGCAAAATGTAAACAGGATGCGATCACACTTATAGGATATATGAGACTAAGACATTTCAGGTTGTCACTCAGGGTAATTGCCTTCATATTATATCTGCCTCAGTCAGCCAATAGCTAGATGTCCACTTAATGGTTGTTACTGTATCTGTCGGTTGCCTGGTAACGGCTTGGCTACCTGTGGGAGGAGAATCTCTGTACCTGGGTGTGATTAATGCAAGGCACAAAGCATGTTTCAGCAGTAACTCTGTCCTGATCACAGTCTGGAGACTGAACCTTGTTACTCTGTCCTGATCACAGCCTCCTGGAGTGTCCTGATCACAGCCTCCTGGAGTGTTCTGATCACAGTCTGGTGACTGAGCCTTGTTACTATGTCCTGATCACAGTCTCCTGGAGTGTCCTGATCACAGTCTGGAGACTGAGCTCTGTTACTTTGTCCTGATCACAGCCTGGAGACTGAGCCTTGTTATACTGTTCTGATCACAGCCTCTTGGAGTATCCTGATCACAGCTGGAGACTGAGTCCTGCTACACTGTCCTTATCACAGCCTGGTGACAGTCCCTGCTGCACTGTTCTTATCACAGCTTGAGGGCTGATCCCTGGACTATCCAGTTAGGTTATGGCAGAGTTCTAACCTCTAGAATGGAACTAGGTTGGGAAAGAGGAACTTGAGGTATGTACTAATCTCACTACCAGACATTTCTGAGTCCATTCAGATCCCATTGACTGCAGCCAGTGTTTATTGTGCATGGCTAATAGTTCACAGTTATTGTTTATTATAAGTGATTGGATGAAGTACTACCATTTAACCTATTGAGAGCAAAATCAGCACAAAACAATGTTTTGATCAAAATCTCTCTCTCTGTTACTGAAAGGATTAAACCGATGGTTCATTGTAATAATGGGCTATAATAGAAAGTAAATGTTAAATCACAGCCTATTCATAATGGGCCTATAGCACATGTGTAGGAAGTACATAGCAGGTGTTAATAGAAAGGCTGCACATTACATCTCATTGTTGAACACTTGTGTTGGGGATGGGAGGGGGGTTAATCAATCATATTTTCCTGGACACAAATTATAAAGAGTTCTGCCCTGTCTGATGTAGAATTCATATGTTGCAAAAAAGAATCAACCAATGGAACTGAATTCAAAGGAATTCACTTGTGTAATTACTCATTGTCTCTCTTGTAGCTAATGAAACATGATTTATTAATTTCTGTGCCCAATAAGGACTTTCTATACATGTTAATATACATATATATAAATTCAATAACAAAATAAACAACTGTATCTATTAATAGAATGTTTAAACATAACATTTGCTATATAGGTTTAGTTGCTCCAAACAAATTACTATAATGTTTCAGAAAAACATAAATGTAACCTACACAGGCAAAACTAAAAATCCTACGGGACTGACAAAGGGGACATCGGATTTTAGCTCAAAGTAGTAAACATTCTTCAATTCACCTATTCTTTCAGCTTTTGAATTTTGCACTAAAAATTGAAATTCTTAAATTCCAACAATTCGTGGTCTAGTGAATAACTCCAAAATAGAGCTGATTTGAATATTTTAAATACAGTTTTAAATGGTTATTCACTGAAGTGGGAATTTAAGGTGAATTCCAAGTGAATTTCAAATTCAAGGTAAAATAGCCAGACTGGCTACTTTGGCCTCAAATTTGAAATTAGAATTTTCACTCTAGTGAATAATCCTTTAGTGAATAACAGTTTAATAATTTGAAAAAATAGAAATGCTCTTCTATGGACTGATTGAATGTGCGCGCGTCTCTTGCCGCACATGCGCATTCAGCGCTGACGTCAAAAGAGGGAGGAGATTTCCCCAGCGTAGAAGGAGCCTGGCGCTGGAGAAAGGTTAGAGATTAACCCCTTCAGCCCCCTAGAGCCCGGCGGGAGGGGGACCCTGAGGGTGGGGGGGGGACCTAAAGACCCTATAGTGCCAGGAAAACAAGTTTGTTTTCCTGGCACTATAGTGGTCCTTTAAGTTATGTCATAAAGATAGTTTTAATTACTGTGTACAACAGTTACATATACAGACTGCATGTCTTTCCATTTCTCTTTTAATACCTACATACTTATCTGCTGGTATCGATCAGAGCTTCATGGTTCATTATTAAACTTATTGAGTCTATACAATGAAGAAACAATGTATAGATTAGTGTAAAAAAACTATCATGTTTAGCTTCCTTTTATCATCAATTTTTAAAAACCATGGCTCATATCATTTTTGTAGACTATTTTAGCATTTTATGTCACTCATAAAACATTACACATACATACTTACATACATGTTGTAAGATAAAAAAAAGGATAGAATCTGATTTTACCTTGAATACAAGTATATTTTTTATCTGAAATATTAGAGCATACAATTTGTATTCTTTTTAAAGTGATATTCCCAATGTAGTGGTCTTGCTGTTTGGATGTTGTCCCATATCTCTTACAATGTAAAATTGTTTACATTTGACAGAGATCCCTCCTCTGGTGGCTGTATGAGAGACATTTTACATTCAGTGTCATCACGCAGTAAGATAACGCTGGTGGGTAATGTTTCTCTTTGAAGCATCGGGTTGGCATAACGCAGCAATTTACCCCCAAGTCTACACTGCTTTTCTCTGACTGGACCTGTGATCAAATGGGCGATTCGTCTCAAAATGCATATATATAAAATACAAAAAGTCCTTGCACACTTGCTAAAAATTATTCAAAATGATTTGTTTGCAAATCACCAATTTTATCTCCCATTCTCTGTTTGTACACTGATCAGCCACAACATTAAAACTACTGACAGGTGTAGTGAATAACATTGATTATATCTTTGCAATGGCTCCAGTCAAGGCAGCAAGTGAGCAGTCGGTTCTTGAACTTCATGTGTTTGTTGGAAGCAGGAAAAATGGGCAAGTGAAAAGTTCTGAGTGACTTTAACAGGGCCAACACACAATGAAAGAAGGTTGCCTGGTCTGACTAATCACATTTTCTTTTAGACCAGGTGGATGGCCAGGTACGTACGGGTTGTTTACCTGGGGAAGTGAAAAGTTCTGAGTGACTTTAACAGGGCCAACACACAATGAAAGAAGGTTGCCTGGTCTGACCAATCACATTTTCTTTTAGACCAGGTGGATGGCCAGGTACGTACGGGTTGTTTACCTGGGGAAGTGAAAAGTTCTGAGTGACTTTAATAGGGCCAAAGGGCCAAGCAGTGATGGTTAGACGACTGAGTCAGATCATCTCCAAAAGGCAAGCCTTGTGGGGTGATCATGCTATGCAGTGTTCAATACCTACCAAACTTGGTGCAAGGTATGGGCCGATCACACAGAAGAGCTACTGTAGCTCAAATTGCTGAAAACTTAATGCTGACCATTATGGAAAGGTGTTGGAACACACAGTGCACCGCAGTTTGCTGTGTATGGGGCTGCGTAGCTGCAGTCAGAGTGCCCATGTGACCATCAGACTAAACCATGGAGTAATGTGACGAATCACATTTTCTTTTAGACCAGGTGGATGGCCAGGTACGTACGCGTTGTTTACCTGGGGAAGAGATGGATGCAGGATGCACTATGGGAAAAAGCAGGCTGGCAGAGGCAGTGTTATACTCTGGATAATTTTCTGCTGGGAATCCTTGAGTCCTGGCATTAATGTGGATGCTACTTTGACAGATAACAAGGACCAGACTCACCCACTGGAAAATTGGTAAATTTTTATGGTGGACCCCTGAAGTTCGGGCCGGATGGGGGTTGCAGCTGATTTTTCTTCTAAATTTGCTGGGAATATGAGTACGCCATGAGGGAACGGCGTAGTAGGCTGGACGGGAAGACAGGCTGTCTCCCTTTTGGATAAACAGCCCTGCTGCAGGGGGACAGGACTGACTGTCCCTACACCCTGTAGCTTGGGCGCAGAGACCACAGTCCCATCTGCGCTGATGGGGGGCTTAGTGTCTCCCCTTGGTGGGCTATGCTGCCGCTGGGGAGGGGGAACGAGACTCTCCCCTCCTGGTAGAATACTCTGCCGCTGGGGAGCAGGACCGACTGTCCGTACTCCCTGTAACTTGGGCGCAGAGACCACGGTCCCATCTGCGCTGGTGGGGGCTTAGTGTCTCCCCTTGGTGAGCTACACTGCCGCTGGGAAGAGGGGGTAACAAGCTCCTCTCCCTTACACATTTTCAGCCGCTGGGGAGAGGGGGTAACAGGCTCCTCTCCCTGACACTCTCTCTGCTGGTGGAGAGGGGGACCGACTGTCTCCCCTTTCAATATATTGTCCTGCTGCTGGGAAGCGAGACTGACTGTCTCATCTGTCCCATCTGGGAGAATAAGGTCGACCCTTTGTGAAATACGCTGCCGCTGGGGAGGAAGGACGGCACCTTCGGCTCCCTGTGATACATACTGCCGCTGGGGAGGAAGGACAGCACCTTCAGCTCCTTGTGATACATACTGCCGCTGGGGATCTGGGCCGACCGCCCAGCATCTCTGTAGGGCTGGTAGAGAGACCGCCATCCCATCTCCATCTGCCATCTGTGGGTCTTCCCAGGACCAGTCTGTGAGGTCCCTCAACATTTGCGAGTAAGGACCACCTACTTCCGCACCTGGCAACTCCGGCTGCTGCTGGGGATCTGGGCCGGCTGCCCAGCATCCCGGTGGGCCCGGTGGAGAGACCTCAGTCCCATCTCCACCTGCCTGTTGTGGTTCCTCACAGGACCAGTCTATGAGGACCCCTACTTCGGGTTCCTGCGGCCGCCTCAGGGGGAGACGGCTAGCCTCCTCGGATGCAGCCTCTACTCGGTTGCTGTAACACTCCTTCCGCTGAGCATACTCTTTCTCTTTCGCCAGCCGGAATTCTCGGGCCAGCCTTGTGTTTCGCTCGGCCGTGACCTGGTTCCAGATCACCCGGCGTATCTCCATGGGTACATCATCCCCATACTGGGCCACTCGCTGCCTCACCTCGGCCAGCCAATCATCTTCAGAGCCAGAGCCTTCCATACCTTCCATACCTGTCTGCTCCCAGTTGCTGGATACCTCTGCTCCCAGGGGCGCTGCACGAGTGCTAGCGTTGCCCTCAATTTGTAACTCCACGAACGGTGTCTCTGAGCTGCTTTACCTCGCACTAGGACGCCATCCCACCGCTGCCACCAATGTAACGGATCACCTGGCACCCCGACTGGATACCTCCGTTGAAGGATGCTCCTAGCGCTTCCTGAGGACTCCAAGCACTGCAGCAGACACCACAACCACCGAACTGGAGAAGCATAGAATGCTCTCAAGCATATGAATGCTGTAAGCAGCTGAACAGGAAAAGCATACAATCAGCTTACACTCCTGGCAATCAGCATGCAATCCAATTCCCCCAATAACGAGACGACACTTCGTTTTGAGGTCAAGCAGAACTGGCTGTCCTGGCACATACAGCCTCCTTTATTCCCAATCCACAAATTTAGTACTGCCCACAGTGTTTTACAGAACAACCAATCAATCTGTACAATACACACAGACACTCCCACACAAAATCCTCCCCTCTGCCTGTGATATGATTACGGAACACAATGGTTAATCTAATTATCACAGGCAGAGAAATACAGTATCATAAAACACATCATAGGGACCCCAAAACATGCAATAACCCCATAACCTTGGAACCGGGGGATCTGGGTGAACCACATATCCAAAATTCACCCAGATCCGTTCAGTACTTTGGAAGATACAGTTTAATGCAGATTCCACAGAACATATGCAGGCTAGATGAAAAACAATTACTGTATAATGTGTCCCCTGTTGTATAGTCCAAAACCACTGCACGATGTCTCTGTGCACCAAATACCGGCGAGATGGCACCGTGTTGAAAAGTCCAAACAGTGTCTGTGAGTTAAAATGGCCGCCATCCATTGTTCTTACCATGTGCTTCATCCATTGTTCTCACCATGTGCCTCTGATACATGAAATGGTGGCCACCCAGTAACTCCACAGTATGTGTCCAGATGGTTCTTAAAGGGCCAGCATTAGCATAATAAAATACAATATGCCCAAATACTGTATTTAAAGGGCCAAATCTCCTAGGGGCCATAGTCAGCAGGCAGGAGGCGGACAAACAGGCTTCTCCAATGCCCAGTGGCGAGGTTGGTTTCGCTACAATGACGTCCAAGGAAGTTATTGGGCAGCAGCAGGTAATGGCATTGTCTGTTACCAGACTTTCATAAGACATCAAGATCTTGACATCAATGGAGCTAAAACATTGAGTGTGTTCTGTTGCACTTCTACTTAAAGGAGTACTCCAAAGTTGAAACCTAAAAATAAATTCTACTGTCCTATTTCTCCAGCAGAGAGTCCTCTCTTGCCATTACTCCGTTGCGGGCTTACTGTCAATGACAACAATCTCCCCTCTCTGTCTGGACAAAGTTGGTGCATAGGCAGCGATTGCCGCATGTGCTCCATTCAGATGAGGCTATTGCCCAAAAGAATGCTTTTCATAGGGAAGCATTAGTCTAATGCTTCTCTATGGAAGCCCTCACATCCGCTTTAGTGATCGTTCAAGTGGAGTGAATCAGAAAGTCTCCTGGCTGTCAGTTAGACTGCAAGAGGATGTTCCTAAATTAATTCCTAGAAGAATTTAAGAATCAGGGGCATGCAGTTAACACATAAAGCACTTTAGCAAGCTGAATGCTTTAGGAATCCTTTAGGTAGGAAGAATTTTCATGAAGTTTTTTTTTTCCACTTGCATATCTGTGTGCTATACTGAGGCAGCAAGTTGTTCAAGAATAGCTTGAGGAACATGACAAAGCGTTCAAGGTGTTGCCTTGGACTTAAAAATCCTAAGATCTCAATTCGATTGAGCATCTGAGGGATGTGCTGGAACAACAAATTCGATCCCCAACACATATCTTTCAAGACTTAAAGGATCTTGGTGCCAGAGGTCTTGTGGAGTCCATGCCTGAATGCATCAGAACTGTTTTGGCAGTTTAAGGGAGATCTATGTGATACTAGGCAGGTGGTTTTAATTTTCTGGCTGATCAGTGTATATATAAGAAGACGCATTTTACTTTTTGACTTTGTAACAAAAAACTATTGCATAGGATGACATGTTCGCTTCCATGAGACAACTTAACACTAGCAAACACTAAATGCATCTAAAAGCCCTTCACATTCATTCAGTTAACATGTCCTGTTCTTCAACACTGTATATCCAAATAAATAGTAGAAAACAAAGATAAGGTTGCTTTAAACAAAGATATACTCAGAGAAAGTAAATACAACTCGTGCTTTAAACAAACGTCACCATTAAAACCTCCACACCTGTGCAGCCAAGAAAAGCAGGTTAGTCGGTGTTCATTTAGCAACAATCTAAGGGTAAACAGAGTGTACTGCAGGTGTGTTTCCAAGAAAGATTACAGTGTTAGAACAATTACAATACAAACCAATATAAAACACAAAATAATTTGTAAATAGAAAATGAAAAGTTAGGGTTCTTTAAAACCAACTCTCTTTAGGTTAGGTGGTTTGAATTTGGTTTCAAAACTAATGTAAAGTAATTGGTAGCATTTTTTATTTTATTTTTCCAGCTTACTTACAACAGAATTAGGAGAAGAAGAAAAAAATAGTGTAGAGCCTATAAGGGAAAAAAAAGATGAGAATTAGGGGGAACTTATGGGAAAAATGATGATTCTCCCAGGGAATTCACCCCAGGTACCAGATTTCCCATTTCCTCTTCTTCGTTTATATGGTTAGAGCAAATATGTAATTTAAAAAAAATTATTAAAATTCTTTCAGTCTATATATTTTCAGACTATTGTTGTGCTAATGCAGTGTCTGTTTTATGCTATGGCATAAAGGCATTGGTGAAGGCACAATTGGAATCTTAATTAGATTCAACTGCTTAAGGGGACACTAGGGCATCCAGACCACTTCAGCTCATTGAAGTGGTCTGGGTGCAGTGTCCCAGGTCCCTTAGCCCTGCAATAGTAATTATTGCAGTTATTGAGAAACAGCAATAATTACAATCCAGGGTTAACTCCACCTCTAGTGGCTGTCTACCACACAGCCACTAGAGGGACTTCCGGGTCTTTAGGCAACTTTTGTTCACCTAACTGATACTGGACGTCTTCATGCATGTGGACATCTAGTGTCACCCAACACCCTATAGGAAAGCATTATACAATATACAATTATACACTGCTTTCCCATGGGGCTATCCTAATGCACTCACAGAGCTCGCCGCGCATGCGCATTAGGTACCCGACATCGGGGAATGAGGAGCCAACGGAGCCTGACCCAGAGCCAACGGATATCGGCGCTGGATTCAGGTAAGTTCCAAAGGGTTTCAGCACTGCGGTGGGAGCTATAGTGCCAGGAAATACAAGTTTGTATACCTAGCCTATAGTTTCCCTTTAAGCTATACGTCTTTTTCCACTACTTGTCTTTTCACAACTTAGGTTGGCCACAGCCTGAACTTAGTCAGTTTGACCTTTCAAAGAGTTTAAACAGAAGGTGCAACCAGTCACCATTTTCAATGCAAGAAGAGATTAAAAAAAAAATCCTTAAAGGGGAACTGTCATGTTTTGAGTTATACTCAACATAATACTAATCCAGCGCCCCCATTTTTTCAGTTTCGTTGGTGGCAGCGAGCTCATCTTCACCTTTATCAAGATCTATAACGTAAACTAACTTGGAACTAACAATGTTAGCAGACTGAACGATTTTGTTATTAAAGGAATATGGCTTCAAAGCAAAGTGTCAAGTCTGAAATTAGCCGTGATTACACTCTAATTAGATGTAGAGTCCACAAGTGATTTATTGCTTTGAACCTTGGCTAGAAAGGCCATTTGTATGTTCACTTCCCGGTGACAAGAAAAAAAATCCGTACCCAACAATTACAACAAGGGTTGTTCTTCAGTCACATGTTAGCACTAGGCGCCTTGATTTATAAATTACACTACTTTCTCATATACATTTTTATAATATTTTCTTCAAAACAGTTTAAAAGAATACAGCAAGCACCATAACCACTACAGCCTGAAGTAGTGGTTATCGAGTCAGGAGTGCGATGGTGCTACCCCACGGCAAGCATTTAAAATATTTCAGATGATTTGACAACTTAACTGGGTCCTGCCAGCTGTAGCTGATATGGTGATTGGAATGTTTCTTTAATGTGTTTAGTTCTATAACAGCAGTGATCGGCAACATGTATCCGTTAAATTATTCTAAACCTCCACTTCCATGACCCTTAGTCAGCTACTGGCTCTTCAGTTTGAATCGGTACTTATTCAATAATAAATTTACTGTTTACGAAGACGTTCTTGAGCAGGAAGGCATGAAAGACAGTAAGTTAACAATTTCTCCTACAAATATATTGGTACTAATCATGTGTTTTATTTATCCCTTAGTGTGTTCCCGATACTCCCTAAGAAACAGAAGAGCCACTTGATTGTGAATGATCTGCTGGTTCACAATGCAATACCCAGAAAGAAACCATCTTGAGTTTTTTTTCTAACATGTACCATTATGGTTTGAGGCCACAAAATTATTATACAATAATGTTTCTCGCTCCAAATTCTCGTGTACCTTACTCATCTAGTGGCTATACAGATGTATCCACTGGCTTTGCATTCCCTTCAATACAAATGCACAATTTCAGTAGCCGGCCCTCTGCTTTTATGGGCAATGAGGTGTATTATCCAGAGTCCTTTCCAAATGGACGTGTAGAATATCACCATTTTTATGGTGCTAACCCTTTCCATAATGCTCACAACTGGTATTATCCCAGTTACAATTCTGGACCAATGTACAATCCATTTCCAAACTACCCTAAACCCCAAACCTATCCAAGACCAGTTGTTGAGGCATGGCCAGAGGGATTCACCTTGAAGGGAGAGCTTCACTGGGGTAAACTGGAGAGATTTTTTGGTGTTAAACGTAACCTTCCAGAATTTGTAAAGGATGACCTTCGTAGAGTTTATGGAACTTATCCAAGGACATTTGTTGCCATTACTTACCAAAATGGAGAGTACCTCGTTAAAGGTGACCCCAAGGTTGGTGAACAGGAATACACGGTTGAAAAGAAAGTAATTCGAAGGCAACCTACACCGACAGATTCAGAGGATGAGGAGATAAATGAGGGCAAGCAAAGCAGACGGAAAAGAAAATCTAGAAGATAAAAACATTCAAGTTACAAGAATAATTTTTTAGGGAAGGGAATTCTAGGCCTGATCTGATGACTTTTATACTGAAAATACTAAATGTTAAAGCTATACAAATACTGATGTCATGGGTGCTCTTTTGCAGATGTGTATTATGAAGAAATATAATCAAGCCATGCCTACAATATACATATTTATGGACACTAAATTACATGAAGTCACTATGTTTTATCATAAGTTTGTCTTTGAAAGAAATGTATCCAAGATTCAATGATGGTTTCCTTCAAATGTTCTAGAGTTTTGATTGTTTTGCATATATAAGATGAAATACATTTATCAAACATTCTGAAAAAGAAGAAACTGTTCATAAAGTGTTTAACATTGATTGCATTTTTAGAAATCTATTTCCATGTTTTGAAAGATTTTCATAAACGGTGTCTCCAACCCTTTTTAGGCTATACTTTAAGTTTGGAATATCCCCATTAACAGAAAATACCTCACAGTCTGTGAAAAGGGGTAAATATTTGTAGTAAGAATATCTACTATTACTGATTTAGAGGAGAAAATTACAAAATTGTATCCCTGTCTAATAACTGACCCTTCTTCCCTCCAATTTTGAAGCAGTCTTAAAGCAAGACTGAATATGTTGATGAACATGTTTGTGTTTAGATATTGTGTGGATGTGTGTGTTGGCTATTTATAAATTTATTCAAAGCTACTATTCATCTATAAGTATTATGAACGCTATTTCACTCTATATTTAAGCTGTTATGGTTTATAAAACTGATAAAAGATACAGTATGGTGAAGTATATAATATGGGGAGAAGAATTCTAAAAGCTGCTTTGGAGACAGTATAAAACATCACACTCCTAATGCACATTTCAGTGTTATATATCTTTTATACTACATGTTTCATCAACCTATATGCCCAGGCCTGCCTAAGATTAGTTTCAATTGCATTTCCAAGCAGAAGCTACTACCTGAGAACATTTCAGCCCCTCTCCTAATAATGGTATACAGTACAAAGATCTGGGGAGACAGTTTAATTCTGTCTCCCTGATTCCACTCCTGCTATATTATCGGTAGATGAGATGAATTAAGGAGACCAGATCTAAATACCGGTAGCAGCTACTGCCCAGGAGTGTAACTACCACTAATCACAGGCAGACTTGGAGATATATGTCCTGGTGCTGCCCCGAGGTAAGGGGCCCTATAATACTGTGTCCATTACAGTGTGAATTATGTTTTTTAACACATGGTGTGACATCATGCACGGTCAGTGCAGGATTTAGTGTTGAAATAACAGGCAGGCAGGCAGGAAAATATTGCAAACTTGCAAATGGTTTAAAATGTGAGATTTCACTGAGCTGTTTCTCTGACAAGGAATTTTCACTGGCCTTTGGCCTTAGAAAAGTAAGAAAAACGTTTTTAATTCCAGCATAAAAATACTTTAAACAGGGAAGAAAATGTGTCTGAACCAACACCAACTAATGCATTTCATACTTAAAGGACCACTATAGGCACCCAGACCACTTCAGCTTAATGAGGTGGTCTGGGTGCCAGTTTCCCCTAGTTTTAACCCTGCGGCTGAAAACATTGCAGTTTCAGAAAAACTGCCATGTTTACACTGCAGGGTTGATCCAGCCTCTAGTGGCTGTCTCCCTGACAGCCACTAGAGGCCGCTTCCACAATTCTCACTGTGAAAATCGCATTGAACTCACGCAGCATGAGTTCAGATCCCCATAGGAAAGAATTGAGTAAGCTGATGTCGACAGGGGAGGAGAGGTCACCAGGGCCGAGGGAGCCCGGCACTGGATTAAGGTAAGTGGCTGAAGGGGTCTTAACCCCTTTAGCCCAGCGGGAGGGGGGCCACATGGGAGACGGGGACCTAATAACCCACGAGTTTGTTTTCCTGGCACTATAGTGCTTCTTTAATCATAGAGAATCTTTTTTTCTATCATTAAGTGCAGTTCACGTGACCCCTTAGTAAATTAACTCTGAGACCTCTGTACTAATTGGGTTTTCATTATCTTTTGGATCAACAACAGTAATACAGATATGTCGAAGTATGAACTTGAGTTCTTTTTCCTTTTCATTGTATATTACTAATATGAAGTGTAGTAGCAGCATTAAAGAAAATCATGGAGATATAAAATGTATATATAAATTGAGATTTTAATAGTGCTAATTCACGCAATTACTATTTCACAAATGCACTATATCGACAAACAAGTTGGGACACCTGACCAATACACCAACAGTGACGTTTATAACATTGCATTCTAAATACATAGGAATTATTATGTAGTTGGTACAACTTTTGCAGCTATAACAGTTTCCACATTTTTTAAAGTGATTATGTGGGAATGTCGCCCATTCATCCAGAAGAGTATTTGTGAGGTCAGGCACTGATGTTGGACGAGAAAGCCTGGCTCACAATCTCTGTTCCAGTTCATCCCAAAGGTGTTCAATGGGGTTGAGGCCAGGGTTCTGTTCTTCCACACCAAACTCATTGCTTTGTCAATGAATTCAATATTTAGAAGGTGTGTCCCAATTCTTTTGTCCATATGGTGTATCAGTTACTGTGAACTGTACTGGCACCTAGTGGTCTTTTTGTACTCTGCATTGTAGGAATTATTTTGTTGATAGTTTTAGTCTTAAAAAGCGTTTTATAATTATATAGAGTTTATAACCAGCACATACCCTCTCTTTGCTTCTATTGGAGAATCTAGGGAAGCCCCTGGGAGGGCTCTTTCTTTATTATTATCTTTACTTTTATTCATATCAGTGGTTAGTTCATCCCATTGTCAGGGGTCCGCAGGCGGCTGTGAGGGGAGGCTGCATGCCACTTGCAGCACTCACGTGACCTGGCGTTAAAGCAACAGTACCACAATCACAGTCGAGGCGTAGATATCTCCCACGTGTGATTGTTAATTCTGATTGGAAGTTATCCAATCAGAATTAGGCAAAGGATATTTATACTTACCTTTCCTGTCTCTCAGTGCCCTGTTGTGGTCTTGTGATCCTGTATTGCAGTTTGCTCGTGCTTCTCTCCGGTTACTGATTATTTGGCTCGTTATTCCGATTTTCCTGTATTCTACACTCCTTTGACCTCGGCTTGTTTCTCGTTCTCCCGTTTTCTGGCTCCCTTTACTTGGCTTGTCTACTGACTATTCTTAGTGTGCTTAGCCCGGCCACTCTAAGGACCGGTATAGCATCCTTCCTCTCTGTGACCTGTTAGCGTGTTAGGTTCCGGAATCGTGACACCCATCCTGAGATGATAATTTATTCAATATATAAAAAAATAAGTAAACATTATTTCATATAACACTCTCCAGTTCCAGTCCTCAACCTAAATACCTGGTACTGTTGCCTTGTGTGAGAAGGAAGCCAGGAGGGATCAGGTGGGATTATGACCTATAAGGGAAGGAGCAATTGTAACTTTTTTTAAGATAAAAGGCTGATTGGAAACCTGCATACCAGTTTTCCCATTGCAAGTGTGCTCTCGCTGTATCAGATTCATCTTCTGAGGATAACTCTGATATCTAATTATATAATAATAATGAGTGAGCAATGCAGGGAATAAAAAGAGGACATCTGGAATAGAGAAAAAACATGCAACCAGAGATAAAAATACTGTAAGTGACATAAGACGATGTAGCAAAACAAAACCGCTGATAACAAGATTTCTATAAATATATAATCCGCTTTGGGAAGCGTGCCAATGAAAATATGGTAACCAGTGGCATAAGATACAATATTGCAATAAACACTATAATAAGCAGAACCAATCAATGTATTAAGTTGCTCTTTATTACAGTAAAATGTCCACATACTTATGTTGACTTCATTGAAATGATAAAGGATTTACCGTTAAAAGGCAGAACCCGTGGTTTTATCTAAGTTCTTTTCCAACCTGTTTCATCTGCAAAGATATAAAGCAAAACTTAAATGATGCGCATGGCAGGAATAAACATCACCTTTATGGATCAGGACATATTGACAGTGTGAAAAATGTCAACAATGACAAGGTGGCAGTCGACAGCAGATACTGATTTTAAATTAACAGGATACTCGTATGCTAAAGAATTTGTATACTGACATTCTCATTAAAAACCTCTTATGTAAAACATGTACAGTTGTGCTCAAAAGTTTGTATACCCTTGGAGAACTGGTGATATATGTGCCACTTTTAAAGAAAACATGAGTGAGCAGGCAAAACACATTTCTTTTATTTCTTATGGGATTCATATTCAACTGTAAGATATAACAGAATGGCACAATCATAAAACAAAACATGGCAACAAATAAAAAAATGAAATGACCCCTGTTCAAAAGTCTGCATACCCTTTGTTCTTAATACAGTGTATTGTCCCCTTTAGCATCAATGACAGCATGCAGTCTTTTGTAATAGTTGTCTATGAGGCTCCTAATTCTTGCAGGTGGTATAGCTGCTCATTCGTCTTGGCAAAACGCCTCCAGGTCGTGCAAAGTCTTTGGTCGTCTTGCATGGACAGCACATTTGAGATCTCTTCAGAGTGGCTCGCTGATATTAAGATCAGGAGACTGTGATGGCCACTCCAGAACCTTCACCTTTTTCTGCTGTAACCATTGAAGGGTCAACTTTGCCTTGTGCTTAGGGTCATTGTCATGCTGGAAAGTCCAAGAGGTTTCCATGTGCAGCCTTTGTGCAGAAGAATGCAAATTGTCTGCCAGTATTTTCTGATAACATGTTGCATTCATTTTGCCATCAAATTCACAAGATTCCCAGTGCCTTTGGAACTCACCTCCCTCCCCCAAAACATCAGTGAGACACCACCATGCCGCACAGTGGGGATGGTATTCTTTTCACTATAGGCCTTGTTGACCCCTCTCCAAACATAGCGCTTATGGTTGTGACCATAAAGCTCTATTTTGGTCCAAATTGCAGTTTATTAGACACTGTGAGGCATGTCAAGGTGTTGTCAGGCATACTGTAACCGGGCTTTTTTGTACCGTTGGTGCACTAAAGGCTTCTTTCTGGGTTCCAGAGCAGCCTGTATTTCTCCTGAGGTTACCTGTGGGTTTTTCTTTGTATCCCGAACAATTCTTGAAATCTTTCTTGGTCTACCTGACTTTGGCTTGGCATCAAGAGATCCCTGAATTTTCCACTTCTTAATAAGTGATTGAACAGTACTCACTAGCATTTTCAAGGCTCTCGATATCTTTTAATATCCTTTTCCATCTTTATAAAGTTCCATTACCTTGTTACACAGGTCTTTTAAAAGTTCTCTTCTGCTCCCCATGACTGCGTATCTAGCCTACCCAGTGCATCCACATGAGAGTTAACAAATATGTGATAATAAATGGCTTCATATGATCGCTATCCTTCAATAAAAGGAATTTTTTTGCATGATCAGTCATATTTTCAAAAACAAGGCAAAACTTTCACAATTTCCGCCAGGGTATGCAAAGGTTTGGGCACAACTGTAAATAAGTCATTTAAGAAAAGCCCAAGGGGATTAAAACAAAATCTTTTTGCAAGCCAACTACAATTTTAGAAATGTTATGGGTCCTCTTTAAAGGGACTCCATGGCTTAAAGGGACACTATAGGCAGTGGCGTACACATGACCCATGGGGCCCCGGTGCAAAAATTGATCCGTGGGCCCCCCCCGCGCTTACTCGGCGCGGGTTGGGGCCGCAACACATGGCGGTGGGCACCTGGTGACCCCGCGAATGCGGTATACTGCACACACACCTAAAGGACCACTACAGACACCCAGATCACATCAGCTCAATGAAGTGGTCTGGGTGCCAGGTCCCTCTAGTTTTAACCCTGCAGCTGAAAACATAGCTGTTTCAGAGAAACGGCTATGTTTCACTGAGGGTTAATCCAGCCTCTGGTGGCTGTGTCATTGACAGCCGCTAGAGGAGATTCCGCGATTCTCACTGTGAAAATCACAGTGAGAAGACACTGAACGTCCATAGGAAAGCATTGAGTAATGCTTTCCTATGGGCGGTTTAAATGCGCGCGCGCGCCTCTTGCCACGCATGTGCATTCGGAGCTGAGAGGCGGCGGGATCCCCAGCGCCAAGGAAGTCCGGCGCTGGAGAAAGGTAAATGCTGAAGACACACACTCTCATGAACAGACGCATACACACTAGCTAACAGACACACACATTTACTGACAGAGACACACTCAGTGACAGACATACATACACACTCACTTACAAAACATACACTTTCACTGACAAACACACACTCACTAACAGACATCAGACACACTCAGTAACAGACAAACCCAATAACAGACAGACACAATAACAGACACACCAACACACACACTAACACTAACACACACACACACTAACACACACACACACTAACACTAACACACACACACACACTAACACACACACTAACTAACACATGTTTTTAATTTTTAAATTGAATCCCCCCAGCCTCCTTACCTTTTGTGCTGGGGGGATTCCCTGGGGTCCAGTGGTGGTGCTGCTGGGCTCCTGGGCGGGCGAGCGGGCGGGCTGGCTGGCTGTCTAGGCGGCCGGCGCGCGAGGGAGCACTCTCCCCTGTGTGCTCCCTCTTTAGCTCCCTCGCGCGCCGCGTAGGGATGCCGGAGCCGGAAGATGACGTCATCTTCCAGCTCTGGCATCCCTACGCGACGCGCGAGGGAGCTGAAGAGGGAGGACACAGGGGAGAGTGCTCCCTCGTGCGCCGGCCGTCCAGACAGCCAGCCCGCCTGCTGGGGTCAGCAGGGCCAGCCTCGGGGGGCCCTGAGGTGGCCGCCTCCTGGGCCCCCCAGGAGAAGAGGCTGGCCCTGTGGGTACACACCGGGTCGCAGGGGCGGCCGGGCCCCCTGGTGGGCCGGGCCCGGTCGCAGCCGCGACCCCTGCGACCCTGGTATGTACGCCACTGACTATAGGCAGCCAGACTACTTCATCTTGATGAAGTGTTCCGGGTACAGTGCCCCTGTCCTTTAATCCCTGTAATGTTAATTATTACAGTTTCTGAATGTTGAGATATATAAACTAAAAGTGCTGTAACTTATATTATACATTGTATTGTTAAAATGAGTGTAAATAAAGTTTGGTGTTACTCCAAATAGGAAGCAGAAGCAGTGTTAGTTAAATAAAGACACAGAAGCAAGAAGGACCTGTGTGATTTTTTCCCTCCATTTTATATAAGGTTATTCTTATTTACCCAGTTAGCCTACCCAAAATAATAAAAATGGCAACACTGAGAATCTTCAATTATTGTATTGCAGGGTTAACTCCTCCTCTCGTGGCTGTCTACCATGACATCTGTCTCACATACTGGAGTTGTGTATTCACACCAGGTCATACACAGAGCTTATATTGGTCACATATTCAGGGGGTGTGGGGAAGGTCACTTGACATTTGTTGCCCTATGCTGCAGACACCTATGGCAGTATGGTCACACCAGCTGGTACACAGAGTTTACATTGGTCACACATACTGAGACTGTATACCAGCTGGTACACAGAGATTATATCGGTCACACATACTGAGACTGTATACCAGCTGGTACACAGAGATTATATCGGTCACACATACTGAGACTGTATACCAGCTGGTACACAGAGATTATATCGGTCACACATACTGAGACTGTATACCAGCTGGTACATGGATATTATATTGGTCACACATACTGAGGCTGTATACCAGCTGGTACATGGATATTATATTGGTCACACATACTGAGGCTGTATACCAGCCGGTACACGGATATTATATTGGTCACACATACTGAGGCTGTATACCAGCCGGTACACGGATATTATATCGGTCACATATACTGAGGCTGTATACCAGCTGGTACACGGATATTTTATCGGTCACATATACTGAGGCTTTATACCAGCCGGTATACGGAGATTATATCGGTAACACATACTGAGGCTGTATACCAACTGGAACACAGAGTTTACATCGGTCAAACATACTGAGGCTATATACCATCTGGTACACAGAGATTATATCGGTCACACATACTGAGGCTGTATACCAGCTGGTACACAGAGATTATATCGGTGACACATACTGAGGCTGTATACCAGCTGGTACACAGAGATTATATCGGTCACATATACTGAGGCTGTATATCAGCTTGTACATGGAGAGTATATCGGCTACACATACTGAGGCTGTATACTAGATCATACATAATCCTTGTTGGTCATATGGAAAGTTAAGACATGGGTTTACAATGTCACTGTTCCCTGAAAGTAAAGATGATCTCCATTGTAAAGTGCTGCAGAATATATTGGTGCAATGTATATATAATTGTGTGGTGGAATCTCGGTAAAAATAAATTTAGTAGGCCGAGATTACCACGTGGCATGTGTACGTGCATATGCTGACGTATCGATCAGTTGGTTGCACGAGGCAAGATACGATCAGTAGTGTACGGAGCATGTGCAAGAATACAGGATGTAGTATTCCCCTCCTCCATTGTGCTGGACAAGCCATGCGGTCAAGCAGGAAGTTAATTCTTATTTGTAATGATTGGTCAAGAGAATGTGCGGGTGGAGCTTAATATGGGAGGAGTTATGTGCCTATATAGGAGCCTGCACTATTGTTCAGGGCTCAGAACTTGCTGTATTTTTGGTGACATTAGTCCCTCTGAGTCCCGATCGGTGATCCAATAAAGAATCTCTTCCTTCCTGAAGAAACCTGTGTCCATCCCTCTGTGCTTTGCTTCCGTCAGTTTCTCCGGTATCATTTGGTGCATTGGCCGGGAAGCTCATCGTTCAACGGTAGCTGAGAGGCAGAGGCGTGAGACGGTCTATCTTTGCCCACGTTCTCTACGGCTGCACCCCTGAACTTCTGCGTGGACCTCCCTTCGTCTCGGCGCCACTGGTCTGTTGTCCAGGAGATCATCGGCCTCTACGTAAGAAGTGCTGGGGTGTCCCCGTCGATGAGTGTGAACTCAGGTTCAGGAACGAGGAGGTAAGACAACTGCTGTTTTAGACGGCAGACCCACTAGGGGTATACCGATTGTGCGGTAGGCCCAAAAGGGGTT